GGGAAATTTTGAGCACTGGGGCCAGAAACTCAGGAAGTTGGATGTATTGGAATGCGTGTATTACATAATATCAGACTGCCCATTAACTGACTATATTTTCTTGGAGGTCCTCCAGAACACTTCCTTCACTAGGACCATAAGGAGTACAACAGTAAGGGGAGCCCTGGAATCTGTGGAACTCAGTGGTGGCTGTTCTCTGTAGGTCCTGATAGACAGTACAAATGATTCCAGTCAGCTGGGCTCTCTAGTGACAATGTGTATGTCAGGATTCCAGAACAGTAGAAGCCAGGTGGTGACATTTAACTCTTGAATATAGATATAATTACCTTAATAGTCAGCAAGACCAGATGACCAACAGTGGGTATTGGTCGGCAGGGATATGTGGAAATGCCTAAGTGAGTTCGGAGGGATGAGCTAAATTGGCAGCCAACTAGATTATTGTTGGACTTGTATCACCAGAAAAAATCATGAACCAATAAGCAGAAGGTTGATGTCAGCTGCCTTAGTAGAAAATTGTGATCCTTCAGTCTTTTCATGATTCTAATTTGAATCTCTGATTCCCAGAGCCCATCAGTTAAAATAGTGGTTGGGTTTCTTTGAGGAACCACGCATGCCATCTCATCAATACACACAATACATTCTCCTCCATTCTATCCAATGGAACCTCAAGCCATTTAGTACATAATTGGTCACTGGAAAATGGCGCACACATACTTTTGAAGTATGCACACATACTTTTGCATTTAAGTGTTGAGTATCCACTTAAAATGCCTTGTGACGCTAATCATATCTGCATGAGCAGTTCTTCTCTCCAGTAAATTGCACATCACAGTGAAAAGTGAGCTTTCGTGGTTCTTGTGTATTTTTCATCGTATTTAGTGCAATACTGTAAACATTAAATGAAGCCATGGGACCCATATGAAGTGCCACTAGTGATACTGGAAGTGCTCCTGAGAAGCAGAGAAGAGTCATGATACTACAGGAAAAAGCTGAATTGCTTGGTACGTACTATAGATTGAGGTCTGCAGCTGCAGTTGCCTGCCATTTCAAGACAAATGAATCCAGCATAAGGACCATTGTAAAAAACAGAGAAAGAAATTTGAGAAGCCATCACTGCAGCTACTCCAGAAGGTGCTCAAACCTTGTACTCATTGCATAATACCTTTTAATCTCTTATTGAAAATGCAACGTATGTGGGTGCAGGATTGTTGTGAGAAAGGCATACCTATAGACTCTAATATGATCCAAGAAAAAGTGAAGTCATTATATGTCAACTTTCAGCAAAAGGAAGATGAAGGGTCTAAAGCTGGAGAATTTAACGCCGGCAAAGGATGGTTTGATAATTTTAGAAAGAGGTTTGGCTTAAAGAATGTCAAGATAACGGGAGAAGCAGCTTCTCCTGACTGAGAGGGAGCAGATGAGTTCCCAGACGCCATTAAGGAAATCATTGATGAGATATCTGCTTGAACAGATTTTTAATGCAGATGAAAATGCTGTATTCTAGAAAAAAATGCCACAAAGGACTTCTATTAGTAAGGAAGAGAAGCAAGCACCAGGATTTAGGGCAGGAAGGGGTAGCCTAACTCAACTGTTTTGTGCAAATGATGTCAGGTTTATGATCAGGACTGCCATTGTCTATAAAGCTGCTAATCCAGGAGCCGAGCAGGGAGAAGATAAATATCAGCTTCCTGTCTTTTGATTGTACAAGAAGGCCTAGATGACGAGAACCATTTTTTTGGATTGGTTCCATTGATGCTTTGTTCCTAAAGTCAGGAAGTACCTTGCCAATAAGGGACTGCCTTTTAAAGTTCTTTTTGCTATTGGACAGTGCCCTCTGGACGCCCAGATCTCCATGAGTTCAACACCAACGGCATCAAAGTGGTCTACTTGCCCTCTAACAACATCTCTAATTCAGCCTCTACATCAGGGCATCCATAAGGATCTTTAAGCCTCATTACGCACAGTACTCTGTGCACAGGATTGTCAGTGCTATGGAAGGGAACCCAGATAGGGAGAACATCATGAAAGTCCAGAAGGATTTTGCCCTGGAAGATGCCGCTGTGTTATAGAAAAAGCTGTGAGAACTACAGAGCTTGAACCAATAAATTCCTGCTGGAGAAAACTGTCCAGATGATGAGCATGACTTCACAGGATTTATGACAGAGACAGGAAATCATGGAAGAGATTGCGGATATAGAAAAAAAAAAAAAAAAGGTGGGGGTTGAAGGGTTTCAAGATATGGATCTCGGAGAAATTCTAAAGCTGATAGATACCACACCATAGGAATTAACTAAGGATGGCTTGATGGAGTTGAGTGCTTCTGAACCAGTGCCAGACAGTAAGGAAGAAGATGTAGAAGAAGCAGCACCAGAAAACAAATTGACATTAGACAGTTTGACATGGGGTTCTGATTATTCAAGACTACTTCTAACTTCTTTCATGACATTGGAGCCTTCTGTGATAGGGCCGCTGAAACTAAAGCAAATGGTGGAGGAGAGGTACTGTATAGAAACAATTTTTAGAGAAATGAAAAAACAAGAAAAGTCCGACAGAAATCACAGTACATTTCTGTGAAGTTACACTAGTGTGCTTGCCTCGCCTGCCTCCCCCGCCCCTCCTCCAGCTCTTCCTCCTCTGCCTACTCAGCGTGAGACAGCAGGGGTGAAGACCTTTAAGATGATCCACTTCCACTTAATGAATAGTAAATAATCATCATGCCATATAGTCAATCAACTTATCTCTTGTGTATGTGTGAGTGCTTTCCTGTGAAAATGTAATAACTGTATGACAAGAACTGTGTGTGACTTTTTTTTTTTTTTTTGCGGTACGCGGGCCTCTCACTGTTGTGGCCTCTCGCGTTGCGGAGCACAGGCTCCGGACGCGCAGGCTCAGCGGCCATGGCTCACGGGCCTAGCAGCTCCACGGCATGTGGGATCTTCCCGGACCCGGGCATGAACCCATGTCCCCTGCATCGGCAGGCGGACTCTCAAGCACTGCGCCACCAGGGAAGCCCTGGAGAAAATAAAATTTTAAGTATTCCTTTTAAAAACTATATTATGTTGAAGGTAAACATGTTACAATAATTTCCAGTCCAATATATTATTATATAATTTGAATAAACTAATTATTAATAACAAAAATGAAAGCTTCATATCTTCCGTATTAGAAAATAGGTTTGTATTGGAGCTCTTAAAGTCAACTCATAGATAAATTAAAAAGTACTTGAAATCCCTTGTCACTTGTCAAAGTTATTCATCTTAGATTGCTATGTGAACTTGAAAGCCATCTATTTAGGCAGTAAGATATACAGGGAATACCATGCATAACACAGCAGGGAATATTATGTTGAATATTTTCCTATTCTAAAAATAGTATTGTGATACCCATTTTTAACAAGTCAAGTTCACTTTTTGTGAGAGAAAAAGGAGTTATAACGGTATTGTAAATCAGTCCTTTATGTGTATACTTGGTACAAAGTTATAGGATTTAAGTAGGTGAGTCTAAAGGAAGGGACAATAGTATAGGAATAGTATAGATTCTGAAGTGCTTAACCTAGCAGTAATGAGTATGATCATTTTCGAAAGCTAGAAAACTACTATATAACACACATTTAAAAAGTAACTTTTGGAGAAGTCACAGAAAACCTAAGATTACCCCTAAGTTCCTTTTTTCCAGAGAATAAAGTTAGGGCTTTAATATATAAAGGGCTATATATTTCTACTTTAATCTTGTAGTTACTGTAGAAAAGTATTTACTCTTCAACTCATTTTTTTTTCATGGATGCAAAAAATTATCAAGCACATGACTGAAAATTGCATTCAGAATGTAACTGATTATTTACTTTATTATTCTCAACTGTTCGACCCTTCATTAATTAAAATATATATGTATTAAAATTATTCCTCAGTTCTAAGTAACTCTACTAAAACTAAAGACATTTTTGGAAGAATTTTCTCACCTTTTAAAATTCTGCATATAATTTAAATATTGAGTCACTTTATACAATTACCCTTGTGTACATTTTATAATAATTAAATTTGGATGGCGTTCCAAGAAGTAGTATTATGCAAAGCCAAGCTATATATCTGTTAGTCACTAATTGTCATTTTAATTGAATTGTAGAAATAAGGATTGAAAGAATATGGGCTTCACACATTTTCAAAATACTTATGATTTTCTCCCACTGCTATAGTTAACCATAATTTTAAAGAATTTAACTTAGAATTCATGAGTTTGAACACTCATGTGTTCTTTCATTTTGTTATAATCTGCTTACATGAATTTAGAATTTGAACTCCTGAATTTAGGGCTGGATGATTTAGAGAAAACTTTCCTCCATTACACAATTGAGGAGGTTTTTTTTTCAGTATGTGGGCCTCTCACTGTTGTGGCCTCTCCCGTTGCGGAGCACAGGCTCCTGACGCGCAGGCTCAGCGGCCATGGCTCACGGACCCAGCTGCCCCGCGGCATGTGGGATCTTCCCGAACCGGGGCACGAACCCGTGTCCCCTGCATCGGCAGGCGGACTCTCAACCACTGGGCCACCAGGGAAGCCCGAGGAGGTCTTTTTAAAATACAGATTCATTGGTTTAGAAACTGGGGAAAAATATATTAATTTCAAAGAATACCAGAAGTAAGAAAAAGATGTGATTTATGAATTCCCACAACGTTTTCCCCCTACCTAAAAATGTCTTTAAATCTTTATCCAGACTTGAAAATTCTTCCCCATATTGTTAAGGGAGAATACATATCCCCCAAACTTTTATCCCATCCCCTATATTCCTCTTGTGTATGTTTGTCTTTTCCACTTATTTCTTCTCTCATGCGTTCCCGTATATAGGCTTTCTACATTAATTCTTTTGAAGATTTGTTTTTAAAACTTCAATTAATAGTAGTTTTTAAGATGTTTTAATGTAGAGTTTAATTTTTTGCCTGAAGGAAAAACATGAGGCTTTTGAATTTTGTTGCTTAATAGTAAATGAGATTTTTGTATTTCTGCAGATGTGACTCTGAAAATCGCTATGTTGGTAATCCACTTAGAGGAACATGTTATTGTAAGTATTTGTATTTTTTATTTTAAATAGTTGGTTTGTTTTATTAGTTTCAGGTGATTTTTCAGGTAATAAAATTCATATTGAATAACTGATGTTGTCATTAATATGTTACCATTTCTATTTTTAAATCTTTTAACTCCATATATATTGCTAAGAAAGTCAATGTCTTCTTGCTATATTCTCTAATTATATTTGGTGCATTTTTTTCTACTCTGAAGAGTAAAACAGCAATAGATCTTATTCTGAACATGCAACAAAATATAGAACTTGAGTAAACTCAGCTGGATTTTGATGTAATCTTTTTCATTATGGTTAAATTTTGAACAGATAGAATTTTGTGATAGATTTTTCCGGGAGGCAATTTTGGTTATTACTATAAAGCTGCGCTGATTTTGTACTGAAAGATCCTTTTATTGGGTAATGATCATATGGCAGATGTATGTTTAACTTTCAAGAAACAAACTATTTCCAAAATGGTTGTATTATTTTACATTTCCAGTAGCAGTGTATGAGATTTTCAGTTCTTCAGGATCTCTCGGTAAAAAAACCTTTTGTAGGTTTCATCATATCTTTTTTTACGTAGACAATAATGTGTTCTGCAAATAATGGAATTTGATTACTTCATTTTCTCGCTGGATGCCTTTTTTTTTTTTTTTTTTGGTCTTATTGCATTGGTACCTCTGGTATCGTGTAAAAAGATATGATAAGCATGCAATTATTTTTGACTTGTTCCTGATCTTAGAGGGAAAGCACTCAGTCTTTCACCATTAAGTATGTTGTAAACTTTTCATATATGCCTTTATTAAGTTGAGGAAATTCCCTTCTATTCCTACTCTGTTGAGTATTTTTATCAAGAATGGGTGATTTTTATGTCATACATTTTTTCTACCTCAATTGAGATGTCCATAAGGTGTTTCTGTTTTACTTTGTTAGTGTAGTAATTTTAGTTTCAAAAATTAATGGATGGTATCACATTATATGGATATATCACTGTTTTTGGTCCATTTACCAGTTGATGGACATTGGGATTATTTCTAGGCTTTGGCTATTAGAAAAATGCTGACATTTAGATAGTCTATATACTTTCGTTTTTGGGGGTTAGATTCCTAGGAGTGGAATTGGGAGGTTAGATGATATGCTTATGGTCAAGAAACTGTCAAATGATTTTATAGCATGGATATACCGTTTTACATTCCCACTAGCAATTTATATATGTTTCAGTTTTTCTACATTCTCATCAACACTTTATATTGTCTATCTTTTTGATTATAGCCATTCTAGAGTATTAGTAGTATCTTGTGGTTTAAATTTGCATTTCTATTATGACTAATAACTCTGAGTTCAATTTCATGTGTCCATGTCTTGAACATGTTTTGTTAGATATGTAAAATACTAATTTCCTAATACTTTTGTTGCTATTTCAAATAGTATCTTTTAAAACTACATTTTCTATTTGTTTGATATGGTAAAATGAACTTCATTTTAGTATACTGATCTGACATTCATAAAGGTCAGTGAACTCTGTTATTAATTCTAATAGTTTATAAATGTTTGATTTTTAAATACAGTTAGTTATATTACATGCAAATAACTTTTATTCCTCACTTTTCCAATTTTTTATCCCATTATTGGGATGGTTGGGATCTCTCTTTCAGTGCTGAGTCAAAGTGATGGTAGTAGACATTACCATCAAGTTGAGAGTTTGCTATAATTTATAGAATATTCCCTGTATCAAGTTAAGAAAATTCCTGTCTATGTTAGTGTGCTGCAAGATTTCATCATGAGTGACTTTTTCCTTTACCTTGTTATATATGAAGCTGAATTAATAGATTTTCATTAATTAGACATCTTTTCATTCTGGGGTAAACCGAACATAGTTATGATATATTATTTTTGGGGATACTGCTAAATATTAGTTGTTTATATTTTATTTAGGATTATTTTCAGTATAAATGAATGCAAACTATATTTTTACATTATTTTTTTCTGATGAATTGACCTTTGAGTTGTTGTTTTTCTTTTCTAACTTCATATTGTGTAACTATGGTAATAACTTTTAAAGTTGAATTTGACAAGATTGCTGTTTTTTTTTAATTTTTTTAACGTCTTTATTGGAGTATAATTGCTTTACAATGGTGTGTTAGTTTCTGCTTTATAATAAAGTGAATCAACTATACATATACATATATCCCCATATCTCCTCCCTCTTGCATCTCCCTCCCACCCTCCTTATCCCACCCCTCTAGGTGGTCACAAAGCACCAAGCTGATCTCCCTGTGCTATGTGGCTGCTTCCCACTAGCTATCTATTTTACATTTGGTAGTGTATATATTTTAAAACAAGAATAGTTAAAAAATATCAAGTGAACTTCAAAGGTTAGCTAAATTCAACTGAGATCTCTGGGTCTCGTGCTTCTTTATTGGTAGTTTTTTTTTGTTGTTGTTCATCTTTTTTTCCCCCCATATTATAGCATTAGCTTTGGGTTTATTCATCCTTTCCACTGATTTTGTTTTCTAGTTCATCAGTTTTAGGTTTTGTCTTTAGTAATGTCCTTCTCTTTTATAGTTTATAATTGTTGTTTTGCCTACATTTGATATGTTTTCTTATTAATATTATTTTCTACATAGTTTATGGTTCAATTTTTATATTCTTTTTGTATTTTATGTAAGAATTTTCTTAATTTCAATTAAGTAAATCTTATTAAAACCATCTTTTAATTATGTTTTCTAATTTTCTTGAGAATGCGGCATAAAAAGATTCCAAAACTTACTAAGGTGTTTTTGTAGCCTATGGGACATTTGACAGTGTTTGGAGGCATTTTTATGTATCACAAGTAGGAGTGGTTTGTGGGTCCTATGGACTTCCAGTGGGTAGAGGGTGTTATATATTCTACAATGCACATGAGAGCTCCTTAGAACAAAGAATTATCGGACCCAAAATTTCAACATTGTGGGGGCTGAGAAATCCTGATTTAGAGGTTTAATCAGATACAGATATTATTTTGGAGGAAACACTATTTCACAGGTGGGTTTGTGTTCTTCATGTGGCAGAAGTAAGTAATGCCTGCAAGTCTCCCTTTTTATGTTCTTAGCAGAGACTGATGCGCAATGTTAGATTGTAGTTGATTAAGAGTTGTAAGCTGGTATTCTAACTACTTTATTTCTTGATTGAAAAACTTCTGTAAAATCAAATTTCCTCATGCGAGGTATTTGCTTTCTCATTGGTACAGTCATATAGGAAAGGCATGATAAATGCTTTAATTTGTTTTTTTTAATTACTGGTTTTCAAAATAAAGAACTGTTTGCTTAATATCTTTCCAAAGGTGACAACTAGATTTGTTGTTTTTGTGTTGTAATTTTATGGGCACAAACATATTTAATATGTTTCAATCCACTTGCAATTATTTTCTTTACTGATGTTTATATTATCTATTTTCTATGTCTTTTAGTTGATCCTTGTTGTCTATATTTTTCACATTCATTTTGTTTTACTTCTCTCAAACATCCTGGATTTTATGGAGACATATTTTTGTCTGATTTCTTAAAATTAGATATTCTTAATTGATTCTTCTTGAATCTTTAGTGTTTCTTGTGTCCCAAAGGAGTAACTAGTTACAATTATGGACACAAGTAAATTACATTCCATTTTTTTAGGAATAATAAATATACTAATATTTAAGCCTTTTATATTTGAGACTAAGCTGATTTTTCTTTAGATCAGTGCTATCCAAAATAAATATAATGTAAGCCACATGTGGAATTAAAATTTTTCTACTAGCTACATCACAAAAATTAAACAGGTGAAATCATTTTGAATAATATATTCTATTTAATTCAGCATACCTAAAATGTTATTTTAATATGTCACAGTATAAAAAATCATCAATGACCAATCTTTTTTTTTTTTAGTTTTTCTTCTAGGTGTTTGAAATACAGTTTGTATGCTATACTAATGGCAGTCCCAATTCAAATCAGTCACATTTAAGCTACTCAGTAGGCACATGTGAATAGTGGCTACCATATTGGACAGCTCATCTATTATATAGGACTCTCACCCTCTTTTAAAAATGTTAAAAGGATAGTCGTGAAGCACTAGATGGCAGTCTTGTCATTTGTTATGAGACCTTTAAAGTTTAATAACATTTAAAAGAAATGGTGTTTAAAAAAAAAAAGGTCAGTAGTTCTTGTAATAATGTTAATGGAAACGATTCTGACTTTAAAGATTGGAGTGAAATTTAAAATGCAGGTCCACACTGTAACTTGAAGCAATTGAGTGCAATGTGGTGTTAATTTAATTGAATGTAATACTTCAGCAGTTATATCCTATAGACAGTCATAGTAGTTTTTTAAACTTCAATTTAAAACCCCAAACCAAATGTATTAGCTAGTTATCATGCATCACATGGAATAAAAAGAGTTTCTAGCAATGATATCAAATTTGATTGACCCTTGTAAACATTGAAGTACTCCTCTTGGCAAATATGAAAAGTAGTAACCACAAAGTAGTATAGTTTCTTTTTTTCTTAAATGCTTTTTAAAAAATTATAACAACAATTATAATGAAGAAAACCTTAAACACAAGATGAAAGACTCGACTATGAAAATGTTATATAGAGGGTATATTTCAATGAGTGGAATCAGAGTACGGAAAGTCACATACTGAAATCATCTACTTTTTGCTCTTACTATGTGTAATGTCCACACTGTCAATTGTATTTCAGTATATTTCCAAGTAATCTAACATATTTGGGTTTTTTTCTCCTTTTACTCTGAACAATTACTATTTTACTTGATTTTCTCCTATTGCTGTATAGAGTTCAGTGTGCAATTTTGTGATGAAAATAATACACTGCCTCTTTTAAGAGTAAGGAATTTAATTACTTTTATATTCAGTGTTCACCTCTACCACTCATCACATCTTACCTTAGATTATATTACTAAAAATCAAAATACTTATCTATTCATCTCACTGTAAACCCTTTAATTATTATTGATTTATTT